TCTCCTCTCCTCTCCTCTCCTCTCCTCTCCTCTCCTCTCCTCTCCTCTGAGATTTAAAGGTCATTTTCTTGTGAATGCATCAAAATCTCCACCCCATCTAAGGAAAAGAAAAAAACCCATAGGACTGAGTGAGACACTTACTGTCTGTACAAACTTGACTTGGCATTCATCATGCTTTCTTTGTTATGGAAAATAGAACCTTATTGTGAAATGATCTTCCCTACTGGAGAAATACATTCTGTGGGAGTCATTACTCTCTCAGGCTTAAAATTCATGACTTCCAGATTTCTCATGTGTGTATTTATTTGATTCAGGATAGAGATTTTTGGGAGAGATTGGGGTGGGGGGTGTACGGGTTTGTTTTGGTTTTGAATTTTGTGGGGTTTTTTTGTTGCTTGTTTTTTTGAGAGCTCTAACAGTCCCAGTCATTGGATGAGTCCTGTTTCCACTGATCTTTTGGCTTACTATCAAAAAGCAGAAAAAATCCCTACATTTCACAATACTTGAAGATTTTTTTCAAGATAATCTGACACTGAGTATTGATTTTCCTTTTTAAAAAACATTTAAGTTTGCTTTATTTATTACACTTCTTAAAGTTAGCAGAACTATTGGACATCGAAAAGACTATGCAGTGATCCCTTTTTCATTACATATATTTTAATGTACTATTTTCATTATATTTTTCTTTATGTGCCATGTTCTTTGATGTTGTCATTAAAGACATCATGAGGTCATACTTTTTCTACTCCTTATTCCCTTTTCCCATTCCTCTTTCATTTCCCCAGGGAAGGAAATTCTGAAGTAGAGGTTGAAAAAATGGTTTCAGTATTACAAAAAATATAAGCCAAAGTTGTTTCCTTAATAAATAGAATTAGATGTATATATTGCATTTTCAAGAGCTAGTACTGATGTTGGGACCAGCTCCTTAAATAAAATAGGACCTCTGTAGTCTCTGGAGAGAACATGCATAAAGCAAAGTAAATGATTTTCTGTCAACACTAAGTAGACAGGTGCTTACATTGAACAGCATTCTAATATGTCTCTGAATATTTATGTCTTCTTTTTCAAATGCATTGCCCATGAATGTCACAGCTGTCAAATGTCTGTATACAAGAAGATAAAAAATGAAATTAATAAAAGGCAGATCAACATTTCATTTGTTTAGGCCACTTCTTCATACAGCATTTTACAGAGGTTAGTGATGTTGAGATGCTTGAGTATACTGGCATATTTTAAGGGCTGAGTGAAATGCAAAGCAGTTAGTTGTATTTTGTGCACTCCTAGGTATACTTCCCATTATTTAACCTAGGCATTATCAGTGAAAATAATGACTTAAAGTTCTAAAAGGAGTTTATCCTCTGTCCATTTTCTTCACAGAAAGGGATCCTAGAAAGTCTTGGCAGCTCACTATTGCCATAACTAGAAACTTTTTTTTTGTGGAACAAATTCTGAATCAAACTCTGCAATGTGCAGTGACAGATGAGTCACCAATGCTGCTTGAAACCAGTTAATGAAGAATAAATTCAGTTTGAAAATAGTACCAAAAATGTAAAGACTATACATATTAAAGTAAACTTACCATTCATGGCTAACTGTGAAGATGCATCTATGCATCCTTGCAAAAATTTGAAATACCGTAATGATAACATGACTTTCATTTTATACAGAATGGTACTGAGAGAATAAGTGGAAAAACCTTAAGTGGGCAAAGATCAGAATTATTCACCTTGTATCCAAATAAAGTAGATTAATATGTGTTTCCCATTGGCACATTTTAAATGCTCCTCAAATTTAGTGGTGCTTTCACAGCAGGCCAGTTGGCATTCACACACTCAAATGTAGATGCCAGAGGCTGGATGCTGCCTCCTTTTTGTCTATATTCCTTGTTAATTACTTTGTTGTAAGGTTTCAAGTTACCTTTGAAAGTCTCTAGACTTTCTTACCATTCCCCATATGAGTTTAGTAGACCGACCACTTTCCAGTCAAAACAATTCAACATATCGTTCAAACTGACTTATTCAAGCTATTGCAGTACAAAGAAAAATGTTAGCAGAAATTTAAATGATGCACAGAGGTTTGTAGCATTATTGTGAAAACATAATATTGGAATTGTATAATCAGAGAATGGTTTGGGTTGGAAAGGACCTTAAAGTTCATCTAGTTACAACTCCCCTGTCATGAGCAGTGATTAGCTTCAAAGTTTTTTCTCAATATAGCTGTTAAGACTAATGTTAGATTTCCCAAATATCCAGAGTTTCTGCAATACATGGATATTCCACATTCTGGAACCTCTGTAAAACAGAAAGTGCAGCTAGAATTTGTGCAGGCAGGCACGTGCCTGAAGCGCAGCCATAATGAAATGAAGTACACTGCCATAACAAAAGCTATATTATGCTTTCATCATAAATTTTCTGTCAGACATACACTAAACTGCTTCTTGGCAGCTCTTATCCCTCTCAGAAAATTTGTTCTAAGCAATCATCAGCAGAGGAGACAGCATATACAGAACTGAGTAAACCAGTACAGATTAACAGGACTGAGGACATCAGGCCCGATCAAGTGAGTGCAGTTGGCTATGAGATGAACAGATGCTTGAGGGAAACTAGCAATAAGTCAAAAACAATGTTTCATAAAAGCATATCCCCCAACAGATTCCAGTAAAATATGGGTCTGTTTTTCCTGCAAGCTGTATATGGAAATACCTGGAAATCTTTAGATCTTGCATGCATTTTCCACAGAGACACAATGCTTGCTCTCCATTCCAGCTACAGATCCTAGAAGGAGATGATATTTGGAAACATCTACAACATTAACTGGTTTCCAAATTAGGTTAGCATTCTTACTGTTTTATTTTCAGAAAACAGGTAGAAGAGTCCTTTAATTCTCCTTAAAAATTGTTTAGCTGACAACAGAATACATGTTTGTGATTTCAGCTTTGAAAGGTTCAGAAGATGGACATTTTGTAGGTTTAGCTAGTTATTAGAAATAATTTAGAAGACACTATGGTCTTGCAGTGATAAACATGGAAATACTGTACTGTTTGGTTCTTTCTGAGATAGCAACCTTTAAAATGTGTTGTTTTGCTGTTGGCAAATAAGGCCAATGCAGAAATGCATAAATGAGCACAGAAGATACATTTATTTGGTAAGAATCTGAGGTTTCTTTTACCCCAATTAGTGTTATTATTTGGATAATAAAAAGATTTGGTATCATCAATAAGACAACTTCAATAAAGAAACAAGAGTAAAAAAATCCATTCTGAAAGTATGTATGCCACAATAAAACCCTTCATCTAGAGTTAAAGAATATTTTTCAACAGGATCTTCTTTAAAACTGTTGATTTCAATTTTCTTTAGTGATGTGTGTTTGATGTACATGTCTCCTATGGTTACATTTCAAGATATTTAGGATATTATGTGAAGTCAGATTATTATAATTTTGACTAAATGTATCACATTAGCAACATAACATAAAAACCCCATGCTTCACTGTTAAGCAATGGACTTTTCCTGTAACATTGAGATACCACATATAGCTTCAGAAATAGACCACATTTGCTGCATTGCCATGTGAAACTGCGTGTTTTTATCTTTGAGAATTACTATGATTCCTGCCTGAAAAATAAGTATAAAGATCTGTGGGCTACTGAACTCAGACTCACAGGCATAACTAAGGGAAAAATATCTTGATAAGAAAGGATGAGCCTCGCAATTGAAAATGCTTTGAATAAAAGTGCTGCTAGCTTTCAAAGAAGATATTCCCAACAATATCTTCAGGAATATGCCATAATTCGCCTTTTTCTCTGCAACTTATTCTATTGTACCTAGCAAATTTTTTCATTGTGATCAGATCAGATCAGAGATAAGTGATGCCTTAGGTTGCAGAGAAAAAGTAAGTTTCAAATTTCTATGCGTCTGATTTCTTTTGCTCTCAATACACATTGAAAATAGGTTCTGACATTTTAAATGCAAATTTCTTTTTGTTTTTAAAATGTTGACTTTCTGAGTATCATTTAAAGGAGAAAGAAATATTTACTGATTTGATTTCCATATGCTTTAGGTGAAATCTGTTCTACAAAGGAAGTGCTGTGATGAGTTACTTCTCAATGCTGAGAACTCCTATGTTAGCCTGGTCCTGGATTTCTGCAGAGCAGCAGTTTATTTTTCCTTCTATCCACAGTAACTCCGGGCCTCCAGAAGGGGAAATCTGGGATTGTTGCATCCCCTTA